GAGGGGGGAGGGGCAGCTGCCCCCCCTGAGATTTGAGGCAAAAAATAAATAAATAATTAAAAATAATAATAATCGCAAAGGTAAAAAAAAAAAATTGCAAAGTTGGTATCAATTCTGTGAGAAAATGCACTCATGGCCGCTAGACAATCATTCAATATATATGTTTACAAAGGTGTACTGTTTTTAGCCAACTCAGTTCATGTCAAAAAGCTCACCCTCCCTTAGGGAGCGATCCCCCAGGTCTGTTATCAGATTATTGTTTACCCTGGCTGTTTGCCCAACAAAGCTGGGAGGGCTGTTTTGAAACGTTATTCCTGATCCTGAGACAATCTACGAAATGAAGTCCAATTGGCGTGTTGTGTTGAAAAAATGACTGTACTTATGGCAAAATGAACTTACAATTTCTGACTTCTGATTGAGCAATAAATAACAGTTAAAATGCACCAGAATGCAGTATTATACATACAGTTTTTAAAAAGATTCCACACCGTGGGAGGGGGACACTCCCTCCCACACCCTCCCCTCTCGGGGGCTTTGCCCCCTCCTGTACGCTTACTGCCCCCTCCTGACATTTTGCTCAGGCTACAGCCCTGCTCTCTCTCTCTTCTCCGCAGCTAGGAGTTGTGCTATATTTCTAATTATTCAAAATATTAATAGATAAGGGTCGTTTCAGAAAAAAAAAAATGTTTGTGTCACTGACTTGTTAAATTCCCTGTGTAATGACATGTAAAGAAATAATTTGATTTAAAAAAACATTAAATAGGGGATATGAAAATTGGTAATTACTCGAAGCTTTGCACGTAATACCTACCTGTTTATCCCCTTGTGGACCACCCATGTTGTAATATATATATCACTCTAGGACACCAACTCCTCTGTTAACTCACGTGACTGGGTACGTGGTTGCTTAGCAACGACCAGTGTCGAGGAAGGGTGTATGAATCTGACCTTGGCTAATCTGGAGGACATTCAGAACATCCTCCCGAACAGTGTGTCAACTGTGACCGCCATGGAGGGACGCCTGTGTGTGTGTAACTCAGACAGATGTAATGTGGATACCACGAGTCTTGCGACATTACCACAAGGTAGGGTTTTTATCATTATTATTATTATTACATTTAGAACTTTTTAATCATACTGTTATAGGTCTTCCCCATTAGTAATATTTACAAGCAACATTTACAGAGGCTTTATGTTCTTTCACATGTTCTAATTCACGTATTGATGTAATGAAGGGGACCCCTCATCAACTGTAAACGGAAATTTCATATCCCTAAAATCCAATCAAGCTGCAAGTAGTGTTGCATGATCATAAATTTTGACGCTTCCTGATTGGTCGAGAGGCAGTCACGTGAGGTCATTTATCTTTTGTAAGTGAACCCCCCAGTCAGTTCGCTCCGCCATCTTGGATTTCGATGCCCACCGCATGGTTTAGGTGCATCACCAATAACTTATCAGTGCGTCTTAATAAATTACAATGAATATGTGAAAACATCTTGAACATGTAACAGATTTTTCGGTGTCTTTCAATTAGGGCCTATCCCAGTTTAGGGTTGAACCAAGCCATGGGGAGATCTCAGGCAAGGTTAAAAACTGTATATAATACTTTTTAGCAAAATATCAGCCCTGTTTGCAAATTTGCAGCGAATTTGCTCTACTGTTGCTGCAAACTGCAATTCCTTCTTGCAAATTAACGGCATATTTGCTGCAATATATCTGAATGTAAGCAGCAATAAATTTTCTTGCAAACTCGTTGCCGCAAACATTAAATTTGGTGCAATATTGCTGAAAACTTTCATTTTGCTAATTTTATAAGGTGTGGGCAACTAATTATTATTGGTTTACAAAAAATTTGAATTAATTATTTCATTTATCTATTTACTGGTATTCATCCATTATTTATGCAAAAGTTCCAGCAGTGGAATGTCCCAAATGTGAGTACATGGAGTATACCTCCAGCGACTTCATGGTACAGTTACTCCTAGGACTTATTGGGAACTGGTTTCTGGGGGAAATGGACCAAAATTGTGTTTCGAATCCATCCCAGACAAAGACGGTCAACTGCCGCGGGTCATGTCTGAGCTCTGTGGGCGATGGGACGATGTCTATGGTAAGAAAAATAATAATAAACAAACAAACAAACTAAAAAAAATCTAACAAAATAACGAGCCAGCAAACAAACAAGAAATTTCAAGCACATTAATAAATAGATATATTTTGCTTTGTATTCCATTGCCTGAAACTCTTATGATATAGAATATGTAGCAGGTGCAGTAACATAAATTTTCAGAAGTACATTAAGCGGAACACAGTAATGTAAACGAAAAAATGACAATTAACTGTACTGCCACCAATCAAAGTCCATATTGATCCATTTCTCCTACAGAAAGCAGACAAACAAACAAACTAACTAACTAAAAAGATAAGCAGTTGTTTGTTCTAAAGTGGCTCTTTTATTTACACTATAATTTCTTTCTTTAACTAAGTCATTGGTGACAGTCACTATGAAGCTGACGGAGCGGTTATGCTCTGCGAGTAAATCTGCTGACGGATGTTCACGATTGACAGACAGTGACGCAGCCATGACTGGGTTGTTTTCATTGGATTCCTTGACTGGCACCGGCCTGCAAAGTCACACCACATCAGCCGAAGTCTGCACATGTAACCAAAATGGATGTACCAGACCAATGACAACACTTTCCGCTGTATCTACAACCACGACCACGCCCACAAAGTCATCTACGACCACGAAAACGCCCACAGAGTCATCTACGACCACGACCACGCCCACAGAGTCATCTACGACCACGACCACGACCACGCACACAAAGTCATCTACGACCACGAAAACGCCCACAGAGTCATCTACGACCACGCCCACAAAGTCATCTACGACCACGGCCACGCCTACAAAATCATATATTACGACGGCCTCGCCCACAAAATCATCTGCCACTAGGACCACGCCCACAAAAACCACGCCCTCTAGTATTACACCAAGGTCAACAAAATTCACGCATTCCACGACGACTTTGTCTTTGAGATATACCACAGGAATTAAAGATAACAGTTCAAGTACTGTAAATCCTTCACACAAGCCTCAAACTTCAAGTAGCTGCGGCGTGTGCAATCTGGAACTGTTGCTAACCACAATAATGGCTGCCACGTACTGCATGTTATGGTGTTTGTGTTAAGATGACGATCGGTCACAAGTACATAACATATACATGTGCACTTACCAGTATCTGTGACTGCTGTGCACTCCACATTGTATGTGTGAATGTGTCCCTTATAGTGCTGGAACTATTACTTTGGTCATTTGCACATATCTTACACTGATAAATTGTTTTATAATATTCTGTGTAAATAAGCTTGTAACAATTACATGCTTTTCAAAACAACAGCTTAATCAAAGTTATTTGCATTCAAATATTTCAGTATCTTATAAGACAGATTCAGTATAGATTGTGTAACATACACAGTGCCAGTAGGCCTACATGTAACTGATGCTGGGATGGTTCTTAACTTAACAAATGTGAATAATTTAATTGTCTCTGTTCCGTCTCATCAAGTTATTGGACTTAAATTGGCCATCCTACTATAAAGTTAATAAATTGTAACAACATCCACTGCACGCACGTGGAATAATGTACAGTAATAAAGTAATCACTTTGCTAGGGTACATGCATTTCATTGATCCGGTTAATGATGGACGCAAGAAAATGTTGGTGTCCTAAAACGCTTACCTCACTGCCCAGTGGCACTGGTGCAAAGCTGTGCTATTTTTGTTACTTAAATCGGATACGTCACAGCATCACCACCCCCCCCCCCCCTCCGCCATTGCATTTCCATGTCTATTAGGGACAAACACGGTCCCAATCGTCAACATGTGCTCTCCTGGATTTTTTTATCTGTTAATGCAATCAAACACGATCAACAGTGTTAATTATACTAAAACACGTTTTATTGATTCAGAAGATTAAAAACTGTTGGGAAATCGAACATCAACCGATGGCTTTTTTGTCTCTTAGTGTGTGGGTGTGCGTTTGTGAATTTTTGTCATTTTTCACAAATTGACATTTTCCAGGTGTGACTGAAGAGCGTTCATATACTGTGTTGTCTCAAGGTTAATTCTATAAGTTTTGACATGTATGTCTGTTCATTTACAGGCTTTAGTTCCTTTCCTATAAATTTGCATCGGTGTTTTATCATCATCATCATTATCATTTGTTGGTTGGTGTATGTATTTTGTACTTGGTCACTTTGCTGCCTAGATTTGAACCATCGGTTCTAAACGGCAAAAGTGATTAAAATCGGTTATTTTGTGCCTATAAGTGTACCAGTAGTGTATACATTTTGTAAACGAAATCTCACTTCAGACGTTATACCTGAGATCAACAAAAACTGTTTTCCACTTTAACGAACAAATATATATATATATATATATATATATATATATATATATATATATATATATATATATATAATTTTTCTTTTGAAAATCCCGTCTTGAATGAGGCACTCCACTGAGAGTACTACTTTTAGCACTTCTTGGAAGTGACGAAAATGCGCATGCGTTTTTTTTTCTGTTTTCAAAAACGAGACAAATGAAATGACACCAGGTGTATTTTTCTGTGCTGACTGCAGAAAGCGCTCACGTCTCAACATGGCTTCTTTTTATCAAAGCTTGGTTGTTCTCCTGTGTTTTGTGCAGTCAGGTAAATGACATGTATTTGCGCACATTCATGCTACATATACATATTAATATAGGCGTAATGGTGTTGTCTATAAATCTTACATACAGTAGGGGCCTACATGATAGAAAGATGAGGTGAAGAGGCGCGACTGATCCATGGTTGTTTTGCACAACCAACCAGTTTTATTTTACATTTCAAGACTGCTTAAAGAAGTGTTGTTTATTATTTGACCCCCCCCCCTTCTCTCAAACTTAAATTGAGGGCGAAGGGTGAGAGCGAGGTTCTTTCTTGTTATCTAACTTTATCAATTTTTGGAAACTAGGAACAGCTATTCAGTGCCTTGACTGCCAGTCATTTGGAAATAAGGCAAGTTCCCTCTTAGAATACTTTTACCACAACTACGACCAGCGATGCGAAGACAACCCCTCTGCGGCGACAAGCTTTGCCGAGTGTAGTGGGTCCTGTTACTATCTGAGGGTCACCCAGTCTTTAACAAAGACGGTAAGTATCTGGTGTTGTAGTAGGTTTCTGGGGAAGAGCCGACGACAGGAAGTCAGTCTGTTTTGAATTTGATCTCTCTCTCTCCCCTCTGCAGCTAGGAGATGTGCTGTATTTCCAATTATTCAAAATAAAAATTGACAAGTTTCATTGCAGAAAAAAATATACAGGTAGACATTTTGTGTAATATTTACATAACTTTTCCATATCAATTTTTCATTGCCATAATGATAGGTACCATGGAAATAAACAGTGAAAAATGGGACAAGTCAAAATTGTGCAAATATTATATAAAAAAAACTTTGCGTCACTGACTTGACTCATGTTAAATTCCCTGTGAAATGACAAGTAAAAAAATAATTAGATTAAAAATAATAACAGAGAAAACGGGGTATAAGAATTTGTAAGTTTTACATGTTATATTTATCTGCGTACTGCTTGTGGACACCACTTGTTGTGTTAAAAGATGTGAAAAAAAATATGAATCTCTCTAGGACGCCAACTCCGCTGTTAACACACGTGACTGGGTACGCGGTTGCTTAGCAACGACCAGTGTCGAGGAAGGGTGTATGAATCTGACCTTGGCTAATCTGGAGGACATTCAGAACATCCTCTCGAACGTGTCCATTGTGACCGCCATGGAGGGACGCCTGTGTGTGTGTAACTCAGACCGATGTAATGTGGATACCACGAGTCTTGCGACATTACCACAAGGTAGGGGTTATTATTATTATTATTATTATTATTATTATTATTATTATTACCTAATATCATCATCTTGCTTTTTTGGAAAAAATTATCATACTTTATTTAGTCTCACTCAATAGTAAACTAGTAACTTACTAGTAATATTTAGAGAGGTTTTATGTTCTTTTTTTTCACATTTCACAATCCACTTTAAAATTATTAAAAGCAGACCCTCAGTGAGACTTAACAAAATTTTCATGTCCCTTCGATTAAGCTACAAAGAGTGTTACATGATCATGAATTTTGACGCTTCCCGATTGGACGAGAGGCGGTCAAGTCAGGTTAATGATTTTAGTTAATGGACCTCCTAGTCAACTCACTCCACCACCTCTGACCTTCTCCGCTGCATGGTTTATATGCATTAAAAAACATCTCGTTTTGTTACAATACCTGACAAAGATAATAAACATGTAACAAAGTCTTTGGCGTCGGTTAATTATCCCGGCTTGGGCTTGAACCTAGCCCAGAATTAAGATTCCGCAGCCAAAGGCAATTATTGTAGGGTGGACAGCAGAGAGATGAATATACACATGTACATGTACAATGTTCATGTTCGTTAGACTGCAAAAAAAGATGATATTTTGTCTTCTTTTGAATTAATAATTTCATTTAGTTAGTTATTTACTGGTGTTCGTTTATTGTTTATGCAAATCCTTACAGTTCCAGCAGTGCAGTGCCCCAGATGTGAGTACATGCAATACAGCTCAGACGACTCTTGGACACGGGCAATTCTGCATACTGTTGGCGGCTTGTTGCTGGGGGAAACGGACCAAAAGTGTGTGTCCAATCCATCACAGACAAAGACTGTCAGCTGCCGTGGGTCGTGTCTGAGCGTTGTGGGCGAAGGGAGGATGTCAGTGGTAGGGAATAGCAAACAAACTATTAAAAAATAAATGAATGAATAAAATAAATAAATAAATAAACGAACGATCGAACAAATAAGTTAGTAAATAAATGATGTTTCAGTTGTCCTAATTTCTGATGAAATAGAATGTTTGAATATTGGCAGTTGTAGTAACATACATTTATTTCAAGAAGTACATTAACAGAAATACAGTTATAAACACACAAATGACAACTGTCTGTACTGTCGCCAGTTTAAGTCCATATTGATTCTCATTTATCCTCCTAAAGAATGCAAACAACAACAACAACAACAACAAAATGAATAACACTTGTTTGTTCTCAGATACGGTTCTTTACATTTTTACAAAGTCCTTTCATTTTACTTAGTTATTCGTGAGCTTCACCTTGGCTATGACGGAGAGGATGTGCTCGGCGAGTAAATCAGCTGACGGATGTTCAAGATTGACAAACAGTGACGCAGCCTTGACTGGGTTGTTTTCTTTTGGTTCAAACGATCAACAAATTAGCACCACATCAGCCGAGGTCTGCACATGTAACCAGGATGGATGTACCAGAGCAATGACAACAGTTTCCGGAGCATCTACGACCACGCCCACTAAAACCACTCCAAATGGCATCGCATCAACAAGTGTGACGCATTCACAAAACAGCCACGTGTCCACCACGTCGACCACGCCCCATTCTACCAAAAAGCCTCAAACTTCAAGCGGCCGCGGAGTGTGCAATCTAGAACTGTTGCTAACTACCCTAATGGCTGCCACGTACTGCGTGTTATGGTATTTGTATTAAGATGACGATCGGTCACAAGTACATAACATATACATACGCATATACATATACATAACATATACATATACAGGGGTACATATACACTTACCAGTATCTGTGACTGCTGTGCACTTACACTGTATGTGTGAATGCTGGGGTTCTTGCTTTGGTCACATATATATGCACATATCTTACACTGATAAATTATTTTATAATATTCTGTGTATATAAGCTTGTAACAATTATATGCTTTTTAAAGCAACAGCTTAAACAAAGTTATTTGCATTCAAATATGTCAGTATTTTATAAGACAGAGTCCGTATAGATTGTGTAACATGCGCTGTATTAGTTTCATGTAACTGATGCTGGAATGGTTCTTAACTTAACAAATGTGAATAATTTAATTGTCTCTATTCCGTCTCATGGCGTTTTGTGTTGTTGCTAAAAACTGAGATGATTTGGATTCAGTATAAAATATTTTAAATTATAAACAACACGATTATCAATTAAAATATTGCTTTGTTGGTAGATTAAATCTGGAACCCGCCAAATAGATTTAAAAAATGGATGAACGAATGGATAAATTCATTTCAGGGTCTTTGGATCTTATATAAAAGTACCTTGGATGATTCGTGAGGGTCTCCAAGCATATCTTTACTGGACAAAAAGAATGGGTTATCATCTTTGAAAATCTGTCAAAATATTCCTATGTGTTGGATTTCGATGGGGTGCGTTCATATGAAAGGGGTTGGTTTTGTCTTTTTACAACAATTTCTTTATATACATGTAATTCTCAAACACAAGCCTCAATTTTTTTTCATACCGTTAGCTTACGGCCACCTGGTCGAAGGCCTTCATCAGACTGACGTGAGAAGTTGTTCATACTCACTGACCGCTAGGTGGTATAGCGTAGTAAGCTAACGGTATGAAAAAAAAATGAGGTTTGTGTTCGAGAATTTCATGTATATCCAACAACCAAGCTAATGAACATTTTTGAACAATTTTTTTTTGTTTCCAAACATTTCTGTGTATTTTAAACTTTATAATTCTTAGCAGAAAAAAGACACTAAATCAGGGTTAAAATCTGGGCACAGACATGCCAGCCTGTTTTGCAGTACAATAGGGAAAAGAAAGGTCTCAGAATAGTATTGTCATGTTTTTGGTCATCACAGGGATCGTGTACCCACACACGCTAGAGTAAAACAAAAATTGCTCTTCGCCAAAACTTGATAGGTGAAGAAAACGAATTGTAGTGCATTACCATCGCTTTCGTTTTCAACTTTACTAAAAAGTGTTATCTCTCATACACGTGAACTATACAAATCGTTCAATTTCGGGATTTAAATACCTAAAATACACTCTTCTCTTTTTAAAGATACATACAAAGTCAATTTTTTGTCACAAAAACCAACCAAATCCCAGCATACAGTTTCAAGTAGTATAAAAGAATTACTAAAAGGCATTGTTTAATTTTACCCGAAAGTGATGTTTGAACAGATTTTTTTTGCTAGCATTCTATGCTGTATGTCAATGGGGCAGAAAAGTAGGTTACGAAAGTAGGTTAAATTGACAACCAAAAATGTAAAGAAAGGAGCACTCTTAAGCTCTTTTATGGCTGATCGGGTGATTTATTCAGTTTATCCCTGGGCATGTCGAATTTATTAGAGTCGTATAAGAAACTAGTAGAAGTGGTTTACATGTGTTTAATACTGGGAATCCACGCTCCACCGATGCTCGGTTCGTATGTACCTTTAAAACATCAATCTGTAAGTAAATCCTCTCATCGGAAAGTGTAATCACAGATGTTATGACCCAGTCCTGTTACGTTTTCTTCAGTCACGCACGACAGGGAAACCACATTTTGTTTTCCCATTCAGATTCGTCCGAGGGGCTCGGCGTAAATTGTAAAGATTTCCATTATTGACGTAATGACCCGGTCACATGAATATTAAATGAGTTTAATTAAATTAGCTATATTCGGTTCCCACTTTTTGGTGTGTAACTCACGAAAAAACGATTTCACGTCATTGCCGATTCAGTATTGCAGTGTGCTTTCCCAACTCTGTGAAGTTAGGTGATAAATTTTATGTTTTTAATGTTACATTTTCTAATATTTATGAATATAAAGCATAATACGATGCATATTCTAAGCGGAAAGCGTGCGCACGAAAGACGATTTCATGTCATCGCTGTTTAACCGCCTATTCAGGATTGCAGCGTGCTTTCCCAACTCTGTGAACTTAGGTGAACTATTTCCTGATAATTTTTGTATGCGTTTGATGTTACAATTTCCACAATTTATGAATATAAAGCAAAATACGATGCATATTCTACATGTAAGCGGAAAGCGTGCTCACAAGATCGGCGCCATGTTGAAAGTTTGATGCCCATGTCCCGTTGTTATTACCCAGTATCGTGGACGTGCAGATATTTATGATTTGGTTTTGGATAGCAAATGTGCACACTGAAAAGTGTTGGTTTGGACGCGAAGATTTATTCAACCGAAAATCAAGTTTTTTGCAGTCTGTCTACCAATGGGATTAAAACCGAAATAAAACCTTCAGCGCTCTGAACGTATAAGATGACATGACCCATGGGTCGTACTGTAATTGTTGTCTGAATTTTAACGATCAAATACAACCCTGCACGACGGAGAAGTAAACCGATCACCTTTTGTCGAAACGAGAATGCATTCAGACTGCAAAGTTCTAGTTCTTTCGCAAACAGCTTTAACAATTACGTGCATGTTTATGTAAGTCCCAACGTAAAAGCGGGTCAACTTTGTCCCACGGTCTTTTTTTTTTCAATTGATTGCACAACTGAAACCTGCCGGTTAAGTTTGAATGAGATAAGTCTTATAAACCGAATAGATAGATTTATTTCAGTGGCTTTAGCTCTTACATAAAAAATCTCTTGGATAACTCACGAGAGTCCCCAGGCACGTTTATAATGTGGTTTTGAATTACATCGAGCACACTGAAAAATGCCGCGATCGGTTTTGATGTAAAGAATAACTCAACTGAAAAGCAACCCTATATACGTGTGTTTATGCCATCTGTCTGCGAATAGAATTAACACTGAAATAAAACCCTCAGCGCTTTGAACGTATAAGATACCAAGACCCGTGGGTCGTGCTGTAATTATTTTCTGAACGTTCAAATGAAATCCGAAAGATGACAAGTATCAATCATCTTTTGTCGAAACCAGAATGCATTTCGTCTGCAGACGTTCAAGTTTTTTCGTAAACAGCATTAACAATTACAGGTACATACTAGTATATGTTTACCTAAGTGCTAATGTGAAAGCCGACCAACTTTGTCCCAGGGTTTTAATATATTCAATTGATTGAACAATTGCAAACCTCCCGGCTAAGTTTGAATTAGAGAAACTTTTTTTAAACCGTGCTCAATTGTTTCGCTTTACATAGGCCAATGTTATCACGTTGCGGTATGCGCATGCGCTCTGTAAACACGTCCAAGAAGAAATCTGCTGTAGTGACAGTACTCTAAGTGTAAGAACTAAGAATCAGCAATGAACTTATGGAAGGTATTTGCTTTTTTATCCTTTGTAGTTATTCCGAATGTTGGTAAGTACTGGTAAAAACGTGAGGAACTTCTTCACGAGACTACTTAAATTGAAAACTAGCAGTTTTGATACTAAACCTAGTGTGTGTGAGTGCTGCCTGTACAAAATACATCAGTGCATAGTTTGCCACAAAGTCATGTTTGTTATGACACTCATAGTCATGCAACGTTTAGTTACGGCTATTTTGATATATGCCTGGGCGAATAAGACGAATCGTATTAAAAGACCGCTGTTAATGTCATAAGAAACCAAGTTACATGTAGTAGGCCTACTGAGAGAAATGATATTGCTGTCACGTACTTCTGTTAAAGCCCAAGTTGTCGGCTTGTGCGCGTTTTTCAGAGACTATATAAAATCAGAATAATCCCCGGAGAAGTCCCTGAAGAAAGCACACAAGCCAAAAGCTCGGGCACTTATCTACAGTAGCATACATGTACAACTGTGCTGATCTTTATTGTTGCGTTTCAGCGTAATTTATTTATTTACTTATACAAGACCAAGGCGTTGACCATGATGAAGCTTTTTCTGTCAAAGCCAGCACGTGTAAGAGTTGTTATGTTATCCACAAGCCATGATTTTATACATTATGCCGGTTGTCTCATTTAATTAATTGATTAAAATATTACTTCATTATCTTGTATTTCAAGGAGCACTACAGTGCGTAGATTGTATGTATCTGGAGGGTAATGAGACGAGTGCAATAGCCCTTATGAACCGAGCTTTACAAGCTGATCCCCGCTGCATGGACAGCCCGACCGCTATAAATGTGACCAGAAATTGCAGCGAAGCATGCATCCAGTTCCAAGTTACTATGATAACTGTATACAAATCGGTAAATATGTCTATTCTATATTTAGGCCTGTTATGATGAAAGCTAGCAAGGGCAGAAAGTCGGAATGGCTCTCTTTATTATGAAAGTATTTCATATTCAACTGTGTTTTCAAAATTGCAATTATGACGTCCTCCTTAAGGTGAAACGTGTGAGAATGTTAATTAATTTAATCACTGAACACTGACTTTTTATCTTTTACCCAAAAGAAAGTATAAAAGGCAGTAAATACGGAGTTATTGGCAAAGGTTAAGGATATCCTTAATGTAACACTGATATTTGAAGAAACACCAAATTTTAGCTAAGGCAGTAAAGAGAGAAAAGAATTAAAAATCTAATTGTAATACATTGCCGTTTTTTAGGTAAACAAAGCTGTGAACATGACAATTCACTTCCGGTCCTGCGCAGTAGAGCTCCTGGTGACCCCCGGATGCCGGGACATGTCGAATGATGCGCAGAGTTCGTTGTTTCAGGAACTGAGTCACAAGGCTGTTTCGGACGTACATCAAGTGCTACCTATATTTCCGTTTTTCACTATCGTGGACATCGAGGGAAAAGAATGCTTCTGCAATGACGGTGATATGTGTAATAAATATATGAGTAATTTGGGCCCACTCCCAACGGGTAGGCATTGCGTGTTTTTCCAAAGCGAGTATTTTTTTTGGTTTTATTTGATCACAGTTGACAGTTACTATCGGTTATATCTTCCGTATAATTTCAGTATTTTTAAGTACAGGCAATAATGAAAGAAATGAAAGGAAGATGAGAAGAAAAAAACACAACATCACATTTGTTTGAAATTTTTGTCAAAGGAACCTTGCGGTACCACGTATACTAATCATTCACTGCCATCAAATTATTTTAACTACTTATTTTAACTACCGTCTTTATGAAATGAAATGAAATTAAATAGCGAAATATACTAGATTGTTGGTATTTTCAAACGTATGTACTGTATCTTGTTGCAGTAACTCCTTTGCAAAATGGTTAATTTAACAAATGATCCTACATAATAACACATATTACAAAGATTTGGTTTGTGATCACACGTGAATATGTATGACATTAATTTACTTTGTAAATCAATATTTATTGACCATTAATTGCAGCCATCCCCAGGGAGCGACCTCCGTGGAATATCATAATTTCTTGTGTTTCCGTGGGCATCGTAATCATAGTTTCAGCAGCAATAGTTTTTATCTGGGCGCTACGGAAAGGCAAAATTCTAAGAGCAAATCTGGATGCAAGATCGAGACATTTTGAAGGCGATAGTAAGTTTAAATATTACGATTTTATCACACTAAGGCCTGGCCAACTACAAGATTTGCAACCTATGATTTCAATGTGAGTGAGAAATTAGCGTTTGACTGTTGTTGTTCGGTTATTTTATTTTCTAACTATGCATGTGTATAATCATTACGATTTCATTTTCAAGAAAACAGCGCGAATGTCTCGTTGTAATTTCCACCATCTGTATCTAAAATGTATTCTAGAAGTTTTCAATTTGGACGATTAAAACGATTAATTCAATCGAGGTTTCAGTAAATGTTCAATATGTATTGTTTGTTCTTTTATAAGATTGTTTAACTTCAGATTTTTCAATAAAATTAAATATCCTGTAAGGCTTATTGATATGTTAAAAGGAATATACCGTTACTGAATTTATTATTATTATTATTATTATTATTATGTACAACAATCTCTGCTTAATTTGTTCCAGATGTTTTGAAGGAAGGAGACCCCAAAGGTAATAACTGGCTTCCATTAACAGTAAACCCCTCGCCTTAAGACCATCGTGACTTGCATTTTGTATTGTAACGAATGCTTTCCCAACAGTTGGGTGAATCAGGCAAAAAAAAAAAAAAAAAAAAAAAGATAAATAAATAAACATTATTCTCATTTAGATTTCATCAAAGTCGTTAAGTCGAATTATTGAAGTTAAAACTGAACAAAACTTAATTAATAAGATGAACAACTGTTTTCAGATTATTTATTTTCTATTTTTCAACAAAAAACAATGTTGTCTGGATAAAACATCTGGCATCGTCATATGTTTCGTATCCATAATGGTATTTTTAATAAAAAAAATTATCGTCCAATATCCATGTTCAGAAGCCTTATATATGTACATGTATGTTCATGTTCGTTGCCTCAACTCTTTCAGATGAATGGAAAGAAACCGCTGAAATAAAAGGTAAGAATCAACGAGTGTAACGGTTAAGGCAATTCAAGATCCAGCCACGAGGCATGCATTCTACAATAAAAAAAAAAAAAAATGTGGTAATATATGCTACCCCAACGTGTTGAATTTCTCAGTGGAGAAATAGAGTCATATACGCTTTTCATATGTCGCCTCTTTTTCCGAACATTTATGGAAGTTAAAATATTGTTGTCAAGACTGAAAAGGAGATAGTAAAGATGGTGAACTGCTTACAGACCATTCCAGACTGCAAGAAGTACTCAACTTCCGTCTGGTTGATGCGATTAAGCTGCTGTATATAGTAGCAACTTTGTGATTAAGTTCCGTCATGCATTATAACAAGCTTCTCTATTTTCTAGGATTCTACTTCCATGCCTTTATTTCGTACAATGAGTCCGTACCAGAGGACAGAGCGTTTGTAAAAGGAAGACTTATACCAGAGTTGGAGCGCCGCGGTTTTAGAATATATAAACCTGACGAAAGGGTCGGGGAGATTGCAAGACGTATGTGCCATTTCATATTCAAAAGTAGCTCCAATAGTATAGGCTTAGATATAAATTCTGAACATGTGTAGTTAACAGATTTAAAACTATTTAGGGCCATAAGGTGAAAAGTCCTTATGTACGCTGTGTTTTTTATTGTTGAAAATCTTCCATTTTTTCGGTTTAAACGAGCAGTTTTAAAACATTATTCCATTATTCTCTATCAACAGACACTGTATATGTGTAGTGAATATCAGAGTAGACCATGAAAAATCTATATGTTGCATTTCCAGAAAAGGAAGACATTGGCATTGCAACCAGCAGTCGATTCATCATGATCGTTTCGCCGGAGTATTTTGATATGGATGGCGTGAATGACCTATGTGGAAGAGTCAGGAAAAAGCTAAACGACAACAAAATCAGAATAATTCCAATAATTTTGAAAAATTTTGATCGCAATTTGAAACTAAATAAAGACTTTGCGTCTGTAAGAAAACTGATGAAACAGCCGTGTTTTGAAAAACCCAATGAAGACGCTATGGATAAGTTTTTTAATGACATCGCGGACTTCATGCCAAAACTTGAAAACCAAGCTGAAAGAGCTGGCGGAGACGGTCTGCACCAAGAACAAATTGAATTAGATGTCTAGATTCATGGCAACGGGGACGAGCGATATTGATGTATCTTTGTCTACGTCTGCACCAAACTGGCTGTATGTGGAACTAAAAATCGAGGTTGCATAAAATCGTGCAGAAAAATATTATATTACTGCCATTGACATATACATGTACCACTTATGTAAGAAGTATACCTTATATATGTACGTTATTGGAATAGATTTCAATGAATAAACATCATATGGTATGGCGAAATATTGTGTGAAGCTTTGTATTTATTTTCCGGACTCTTAAACTCAAAACCATTGTTCTCAACCAGCAGTCTGCAGCATGGGTAGTGGCATGATACACTACCCAGTTCAAATGTTCAATAAAGACGCGGCATGCCGTAATCTTATGTAAATACACCTCGTCAAGCATAAATAATAGCCAAAAATCAACAAAGGAGAATATTTAGATCTTTTCACATCGCTAAAAAACACAATAACATCACACGGGGTCGCGTTTGAAAGACCCTCAAGTTTATTTGTCATGTTAACCACTGTCCTACAAAAGCGGGTTTTACAGGCGCATTGATGCGGTGTAAAATGTGTCCTACTTTATTCATTCTGAGGCTTGTTCAGCTTAAGGCACCTGAAAATATCCAGCATGCGGCAGCTGTGTACGGTTGCAGTATTTCTTCTCGTCACATTCAACCGCAGAGGTAAGGTTATCTCTAATGTGGTCACAAACAAAACGGTCACGTCTCGTTAACATCTGATCATCTCTTAAACATGTGAAATTGTAGCAAATATACCTTTATATGTAAAAAAATTCAGTCTATCTGGAATAAAAATGTATCGGTATTAAGTCCATTATTTTTGTCTTTTAGTAACTAGTAAACGAAGGAGTGAAACACAAATAAAATGTTAGATTTTAAGCTACCAAAAAGTACTGCCCAGGAGCTAGTTTTTTGCTGTGGGCTGTGGAAAGGGGGCACACGCACACACACACGCACACACACACACACATACACACATAAACATACACACACACATACACACACATATGTATATTGTCCTGGTAATTGTCCTGGTCTTTTGCACATATTGTAATTCTTTAAAAACAAAGAAGTCCTATATAATATTTTTGTCCCATAAAGAGGACTTATAGACTGAACAAACACATTTGATTCTATATCGTCTATTTTTCCTTTTTATTTATTTTTTTATCATATTGGTTTTTGGTCTTGGAAATGAGTGGATTAATTGCTAATTTTGTAGTTGCTAATGATAAGGCAGACAGACTGACAGGCAGAGAGAAGAAAAAAAAAAGAATTATAAACAAATCAATACCACAAACGCTTTGGAGATTAGCTATCAACACAACACTTAATTTCAGTTCTCGGCATTCTGTGCATCGACTGCAAATACCTTGAGATAGATGGCGTTAGTGTGTTGGGCCCACTAGGAGACGTGCGCTGTAATGGAAGCCACACGACCATGAACACGACCGCCGAGTGCAGTGAAGGCTGTGTGCAGATGGGATTTTCTTTTCGACATATAAATAAACAGGAGGTGAGATAGGCCCCAACCCCATAGCCACCGTCGGTCTTACTAGTTTGATTCAACTCTGCGGAGACTTGTTGAGCGCAATCAGCTGCACTGAATGACATAGGCCCTATGCCTCCTAATGGCGTTGGGTAAAATACACAAAAGCCGATGATTACATGAGCACTCTAGTACCAAGAGGTTTGCCATCAGTTTAGCCGATTGCTCTTAGCAAGAGTACACGCAGAATTAGATCGATCAACATAGACTGATGGTTATATGTGAACGGGTACTTTAACACGAAATACTAGAATTGCAAATGATTATGAAGAAACTGTAACCAAGGAGGTGGGTGGGGTGGGGTTAGGGGGGTCTTGACATTTTGTCTCTTTTGCAGGTAAAGCATATACAGTGTACATATACCTTTAAAATGAGACAATCCCAAAAGGTGATATATGTCATGAATGTAGTTATAAACTATATTTCTTTCACTTTTTTATTGTTATTCATTCATTTTGCATAGTTCTGCTTAAGTCTACTGAATAGATATAGAATTTAGACCTCAAAAGAACAACAACAACAACAACAACAACAACAACAATAATAATAATAATAATAATAATAATAATAATAAATATGTTAAATGTGTCATTTGAATGTTTACAGAGCCACACGGTAGCCTATAGCTTACGGTTCTGTGCTGCAAAGCGTCCCGAGGGAGACGGATGTCGGTACATGACTGGGGATCACGCGCGAAAAGGCTCGACGGATTTGAGAATGATAGGATTCGAGAGGTTTTTTAGTTACTTCAGAACGGGAAAGTTTGAAGATTTTCAAGGTGTTGAATGCTACTGTAGTGATGAAGACCGGTGTAATGCTGAAGTGAAGAATGTTAACCCGTTGCCAACTGGTAGGTAGTGACACACACACACTCAAACACACACACACGCACACACACACACAGAGAGAGAGAGAGAGAGAGAGAGAGAGAGAGAGATGACCACCTGCAATTCACTGATAAGAGAAATAAACAAAGTGATCTACTTATGTATACTAAATGCCAAAACGCTGAATGCAAATGCAATTGTTCTAGCAAATATACATGTATTTTAAGTGCTCGGCAAAACAGATTCAATGTCGCATGGTTCCAATATTCAAATGTGGAATTATATGTTATAACAATCTATTCGTATTACAATTGATGGATCGGTTCTATTATTTGTTTTTTTTTAGTCATTGGATAAAGCACATGTTACGTTATGCTTTATCTTTACCATTGCAGCTATTGTGAAATTTTACATCCCATGGGTCATCATAGCACCTGTTATAACCTTGACGCTGGTTATCCTGATTGCAACCGGTCTTCGAGTGTGGTGTCTGAAGCATCATAACAACCTCTATGTTCTGAAGTGGAACTACATGTTTTTCACCAATAGGCAACGCTGTTTGTTATATTATTTTATCGCAATTTGCCTCTTTACTCCAAATTTGCAATAGTGACATGTGATGTTCGTCTATACAAAATGTATTACTTTGACTATTCACGCATTTATTTTGGTTGGTATAGTTTATGTTGTTAAAGTTAAAAATCGAAGTACTTGTTTGTTTCACTTTCACTTAAAGTAGGAAACCTTTAAATTATATACATTCAGGAAATAAGAACGTTTATTTATGAAAAAAATTGTCAAATTAAGGCATACATTATGATACTTACAGGTGTGACAAATAAAATATACTCAGATGTATACAACTATATTTTATTTGTCACACCTGTAAGTATCATAATATATACCTTGATCTATGATCCCTGCTTTCTTTCCTATTCCTTTTTTCTGTCTTTATACATCTTGCTTTTCATAGGTTTAAAGTCTTGAACCGCTAATATCCTTTGTCTGTTTTCCTCGCTTTCTCTCTTTACTTCTCGTGGGCTGGACATTGCTTTCTATTACAAGTAAAATTGTTTTTCTTTTCATCTTTCATTTAGTATTAAGTTATATATTATCTTATTAACCCTCATTATTCAGTTATTTTTATTAATTTAATGTTTTATTTAGTAAACTTATTAAATCTGTAATTTATGAAAAATAAAGGCTTTTTTCTCTTTACATATAAATAGGCTGGACATTGCTTTCTATATATATATATATATATATATATATATATATATATATATATATATATATATATATATATATACACACCCTCCAAATATATAATCAAAACATTGAACTCACAACAATTTTTGGTCCTCTTCTGCACCATACTTCTGTAATGTCTTCTGTGTGAATGAACTACTTACAGTCGCAGGCAGTAACTATGACTGACTATGGGGGTGTGGGTTGCACTAAGTGCATCACGCAAAGGGGTGTAAGGTTGTCTGCTCTTTACAGGTTCAAATAGGTATGACGCGATTGTTTCCTATTATGATCACAAAGATGATGAAGAGCAACAAGAAGAAGATATAGGAAATGGTGATGAAGAAGAACCAGAAGAAGAAATAAGGAATGCGCATGAAAAGGAAAAGATAAATGAGTGCTTAAAGGAGCTTCAAGACCTAAAAGATCGAAGTGATTACAAAATAGTACGGCAGGAAGACGTCTTCGGGAGTAAGTGGATATAATACATAATTATTGTTAAATCTCCGGTTGATAAAGATGATTTGATTATAATAATAATAATAACCGTTCATTTTGATCAGAAGGTAATTTGCTTGTGTACTTCATTTTTTCTTCTTTAAATACTCCCGACATAACACAAATGTTTCCCATTATTTCGTATAATTACGTATGTTTGTTCACACAATATTATATCTACACATATCACTAAACACAAGAATCCGTGAGTGTATTCATTCAGAGTTAAACAAAATATATTCTGATTTTATGGAGTCCTACTTATAACATGATAAAATGCATAGATATCTGACCCCTGCCCTACATCGGTATTAATGAGTTAACTCGCACTTAATCATTATAACGTCTATTCTCGCTTCAGTACCTGAAGACAATTTACATAAGAAAATAATGCAAACTCGACGGTTCATCATGCTCGTCTCCGAGAAGTATTTTACACCGAAACGCAAAGACATTTTGGCAGTTGCACAAGCCCAGGTGAACGCTGGAAAGTTGAAAATTATTGCAATCATCCTCCAGGAGATTCGGCGAGATGAACTTGAAAGGGATGAAACAAATAAATTGATCCTCGACTTAATGGACGGTACGTTTTGTAAGCCTACTATAATACTCAAGTGGCCCGCAGAAGAAAACAAAGAAAAAAATAAAATAGCACAAGAAAAATTCCGGGAAAAACTTAGGCTGTGTATGCCTAATAAGGTATTCTTAACAAAATGATGTGTGTGCCTGAAAAGGGAAAATCGCGAGGTAAGGCGCCACAGGTTTGAGGACAGAGAGGGCCTTCTAAACGCAAATTAAAAACAATGCCCATCAGACTTGTAACGTTGATGAAAGCGCAGAGCCAGAATGTTAAAGACAATGTGCGTTTCACAAACTCGTGAAACAAATTAGACCCTGTGAACCCAAAGACTTCAGAGTCACTAGAAATTCTTATACCGTATTAAAACCGACCGGATGGCCTTGTGGTTAGAGTGTCCGCCTCCGGAGCGAGAGGACGTGGGTTCAAAACCTTTCTACATCGTTGCTAATGAGTAAACATGTAGTAAATCATCACAACTTCTTCTTTCACTTCAGATGTTCAAGACAATTTACATTTAAAAATATCATAAAGATATGGCGTTTCGGGGACATACCTGTCCTTTATAAACGGTACCTGCTGTCTCCCCGCTTGGCACTCAACACTTTTGGGTTGAAGCAGGGTCTTGGTCAGGCAGAGAACGATATTGTAAGTTTGATACCACTCAGCGCCTCATACGGCAGCGGGGCTGTATCCTCCCCAGGGAGGCGAGATTGTGTACACAGCGTGTTTTGACCAGTTGTATACTTGTTATTTGTATGTACATATTTGTAAAGTCTAACGAACATATTAATATGGAGTTTAGACTCAAAATAAATGTATTATTATTATTATTATTATTATTATTATTAAAAGAGTTGAAAGATTGTGCGACATGGTTCATACAGTATATCGTTAGTCCCAATTCATCGAAGGGGAGCCTTGAGATTAGGCTTCAGATTACTGATTTAAACATTCATTTGTTAGAATGATGCAGTTCATGTATTACATATTCATTTTCAGCGATCTTCTTTCCTTATCCCCATATAAAGAAATATTTTGTGTGAATTAAGTGAAATTATTTATCAAAGCAAATTAAGAATTTCAAATAATAATAATAAATAAAAAAGAGATTTGCTTCCTGCATTTATCCCAGTGTAGTGTTTGTATTCTTTTTTTTCAATAAAATCTAATGTAATATAATGGTGAAATCAAATTCGTTGTGAGAGAATTTATTACTATTCTTTTTTACAGTTTAACCTTCATACATCGGTATCAAATTATGAAAATACTTTTATACATTTACTCATTTGTGGATTTTACTTGAAATTTGTCAATGGCCTTTCAATCCAGAATCAACAGTAAAATAGCAGTCTTTCTAACATCTTTATGACATTGTAAAAAGAAGTCAGAACGTCCCTTAATACGCCCGATCAAGCACAAACTCCGATCAAGCATAAACTGCTGGTTCGACCTCCCCCCCCCCCCCGTCTGTTTCCCAGCTTCACCTCTGCCCCCTGCTTGTTTTGAATGAAAAGATTTCTAAGTGTGACTATCATAGGTACAGTACCTGTACTGTGCTAGTTGAGATTGTAAGTAAAGTACAGTCCGGTGTGCAAGTTGGAAACTCTTCCTGTAACGTTGCGTAATCTACACTGCTCTCTTATAGGTAAAACTGTTCATTGTATAATTTACTTGATTGGCGAACGTGTACTAGCCAAACTTGTACCGGTATATAAAGGCTAATGCTCAAAATAAATTGCCCTCTTCTCTTCTGTTCTGTCTTTGTAAGAAGGCGAAAGCTCTCTAGTAGGCCTAAGTTCTTTGTGTTATTATAATGTCTCAGTGCATTATTATTATCATCGTTTGCTGGGTGGTGTATATATTCCCTGTCAGGATTCTCTGATATATCAGGCACTGGTGATGATAGCAAAATAATACAAATTCTCGTGTCATGCAAGTGCATCAGCAGTGACCAAGTTTATAGGGCCAAAGTAACAAATGCATATTGCAAATAATACTATATCCAGTATTATAAGATTGTGCCTAACTATTGTGAGCTACATGTATATGTCTCACGTAGTTAGCTTATATGTATGTTGGTGTTATAATGATCTAAAGAAGTTATACTTATTTAAGCTTATGTGCGAACTTATGTACATGTAAAACTGTAGTTTAGAGAGCTTGTAATGCTCAATAAATTTGTATTATATTCTGGATTTACCCGCTTTGCCGTGTAATTTTTGAATCGGCGGTTCTAAACTGTATCGTTGTATAAAAATCTAGTCTTATGTTTAAAGTGATTAAAAAGCGGTTGTAATAAGTGCATCAGTAGGCTACACGCTTTATCACAGAGATCGCACTGCAGGCGTTTTAATTGAGATAAATAAAAACGATTTTGTCACTGTAATGAACAAATTGGTCAACAATTCTTCTTTTGAAAACCCCGTCTTGAATGAGGCACTGCATTAAGGGTACTGTTATTGCACTTCTTGGAAGTGATAAAAATGCGCATGCGTTTTTCCTGTTTTCAAAAACGAGACAAATAAGTTAACACAGGGTCTATTATTCTATGTTGATCGACTAACTGCAGAAAGAGCAGACGTCTCAACATGGCTTCTATTGGTCAAAGCTTGGTTGTCCTCCTGTGTTTTGTTCAGTCAGGTACGTGTATTTATGCACATTCATGCTACTGGTACAGGGAGTACATACCGTATGTAGGGCCTAATAGATTTGTCTATAAATAGTATATAAATGATAGGAAGATGAGGGAGGAGAGAGAGGTGCGACTGTTCCATGAATGTTTTGCAAAACCAAGTTGTATTTACATTTGAAGAGTGCATGGAGAAGTGTTGGATTTATTTAATCCCCCTTTTTCAAAATTAAACTTGATGGCGAACCGTGAGAGCAAGGGACTTGTTAGGAGTTTAACTTTATTAATTTTTGAAACTAGGAACAGCCATTCAGTGTCTTCTCTGCCAGTCACCTGGTTACAACTTGGACTCCATTTCACAAAACCTTTACCGGAATTACGACCGGCGATGTGAAGACAACCCCTCTGCGGCGACAAGCTTTGGAGAGTGCAGTGGGTCCTGTTACTATCTGAGGGTCACCCAGTCTTTAACAAAGACGGTAAGTATCTGGTGTGGTAGAGTGGGTTTCTGGGGTAGAGCCGACGAGGTGGGTTCAATCTGTTTTGGTTTCGCTCTCTCCCTCTCTCTCTTCTCCGCAGCTAGGAGTTGTGCTGTACATGTATTTCCAATTATTCAAAATAATAATAGATAATGGTCATTTCAGAAAAAAAAATAATAAAGTAATAATAAATGAAAAATTAAAAAAAAAAAAATATGTATCTCTCCAGGACAGCGACTCCACTGTTAACTCACGTGACTGGGTTCGCGGTTGCTTAGCAACGACCAGTGTCGAGGAAGGGTGTATGAATCTGACCTTGGCTAATCTGGAGGACATTCAGAACATCCTCCCGAACAGTGTATCCACTGTGACCGCCATGGAGGGACGCCTGTGTGTGTGTAACTCAGACCGATGTAATGTCGATACCACGAGTCTTGCGACATTACCACAAGGTAGGGATTATTATTTTTTTTCTTAACACTATCTTAATTTTTTAGGAATTTGTATCATACTATTTTAGGTCTCTCCCGTTAGTATAACTTTAAAGTAATGTTTACGGAGTAATGTTTGTGTTTTTTTTACATCATTTCGTTCACGTATTTCTTAATAGATTATAACAGAGTATAGCCATCAATAGTGGTCAAAGACAAGCTCGGATATCAGAATAATAGCTATGACTGCCGTTTTTGTGGTAAAACAGAATATACTATATTTCTGTGAGTTGTTCACAATGTTTTTATTGTGAAACATAGATCTTTACGAAGAGTTATATCCGTTTGATTATTTCATTTATTTATTTACTGGTATTAATCCATTATATATGCATATCCTTACAGTTCCAGCAGTGCAATGCCCCAAATGTGAGCACATGGAATATACCTCCAGTGACTTCATGGTACAATTATTCCTAGGACTTCTTGGTAACTGGTTTCTGGGGGAAACGGACCAAAAGTGTGTGTCGAGTCCATCCCAGACAAAGACTGTCAGCTGCCGCGGGTCCTGTCTGAGCTCTGTGGGCGATGTGACGATGTCTGTGGTAAGAAAAAATAAAAACTAAATAAAAAACTAACGAACAAACGAAAAATTTAAAGCATTTTAAGAAAAATATATGTTTAGCTTTGTATTCCGTTGCATGAAACACTTGTAGTATAGTATTTTTGAAAATGTTGACAGGTACAATAACAAAAACATTCAGAAGTACATAAAATGGCATACAGTAATGTAAAGGAAAAACTGTACTGTCACCGATCAAAGTCCATATTGATTATTTTTTATTCTCCTACAGAATGCAAACAAAAATAACTGACTCTTGTTTGTTCTCATGTGGATTATTACTTATGCTTTATTCTCTTTTTTAACTAAGACATTGGTGACCGTCACTATGAAGCTAACGGAGCGGTTATGCTCTGCTAGTAAATCAGCTGACGGATGTTCAAGACTGACAGACAGTGACGCAGCCATGACTGGGTTGTTTACATTAGATTCCTTAACTGACTTCGGCCTGCAGAGTCATACCACATCAGCCGAGGTCTGCACATGTAACCAGGATGGATGTACCAGACCAATGACAACAGTTTCTGGTGCATCTACGACCACGACCACGCCCACAAAAACCACGCCCTTTAGTATCACACCAACAAAAGTGACACCTGACAACCATGTGTCTACCAAGACGACCACGCCCCATTCTACTAATAAGCCTGAGCACTATGAAAGCTCACCAGCCACAGCTAAGTCCAGAAAACCCACACATTCCACGACAACTCATTCTTCGAGGTCTACCACGCTAATTAAAGATGCCGGTTCAAGTGCCGTTACTGCTACACACAAGCCTCAAACTTCAAGCAGCCGCGGCGTGTTCAATCTGGAACTGTTGCTAACCACCCTAATGGCTGCCACGTACTGCATGTTATGGTGTTTGTATTAAGACGGCAATCGGTTTCAATTATAGCATATATATATATATATATATATATATATATATATATATATATATCTGTTATACACTGTACATGGTCATTACTGCCTAAGAGTGTGACCCACCCCTTTCTAACCATTCTATTACATCACATTTACACCCTATAGCATCTAGACAAGAGAATACATTGTATATACTGTGTATCGTGAATGGAAATAACCACGTTCGTTAATTCTCCGACTATTTCAGTTTGTGTGTGTGTGTTTGTGTGAGAATGGCACAAGCATTCTGTGTATAATATAAGTCCGTTGTTACAATTGTTTTTCACACGACAGCTTACTCAAGTTATTTGCATTCCAACAGTCAGTGTCTTACAAAAAAGCTTCAGTAGCAATCCTGTATGTACATGAAGCTGGTCTTACCTTATCAAATGTAAATGTTTTAATTGTCTCTTTTCCGTCTCATGGCGTTTTGTTGTGTTGTTGAATTAGCTTAAAGCTGAATTGATTTGGATGAAACAATGGATGTACCATTTTAAGTGATAAAAAACACGGTCATGATTAAATAAATGTTTTGTTGAATACCAATAGATAAAATCTGGGATCCACCAATTAGATTAGATAAACGAGTAGACGAATGGATAGATTCATCTCAGGATCTTACATGTGACATCCAGGATCAGGATCTGGATCTTACATAATATATTTCTTGGATAATCCGCGAGAGTCTCCAGGCATATTTATAATGTGGTTCTGAATTTCAAAAGTGCACACTGGAAATTGTCGGTTTTGATGAAAAAAAAAAAATATATATATATATAATTCAATATATATATATATATATATAATTCAACCGAAAAGCAAACCGTACTGTTTTCCGTCTGTCTGCGAATGGAATTAAAACTGATATTAAATCTTCAGCGCTTTGAACGTCAAAAATCTAATATGGCCTATGGGTCATACTGTAATTGTGATCTGAATTTCAATACAACCCGCACGATGGAAAGTAACAAATCAACTTTTGTCGAAAAGAAAACACATTTCGACTGCGTCCTGGGTAAACACTGTTAACAATTGCACCAACCGGTACATGTTTACATATGTTCTAACGTGAAAGCGCCCCAGCTTTGCCTAATGGTCTTTTTATTCCAATGATTGCACAACTCCAGACCTCCCGCTTCAGTTTGAATGAAAAAAGTCTTTTTTAAACCGTGCTCTTTTGTTTCGTATATAAGCCAATAGTGCAATATGCGCATGCATGAGCACACATGTACTGGAAGAAATCTGAAGAAATTTGAATGAAATAAGCCTTTTTAAACTGAATGGATAGATTTATTTCAGGATCTTTAGTGCTCACATAAAAAAATCTCTTGGATAACTCACTAGAGTCCCCAGGCATATTTATAATGCGGTTTTACATCTTGCATGCTGGAAAGTGTCGCTATCGTTTGTGATATGAAGAATAATTCAACCGAAAAGCAACCCTACATGTTAAAGCCGTCTGTCTGTGAATAGTATTAAAGCTGATATCAAACTTTCAGCACTGTGAACGTATAAGATATCATGATCCATGGGTCGTACTGTATAGTAATTTTCTGAACGTTCCAATGCAACACGCATAATAAAAAGTAATAATCATCTCTTGTCGAAACGAGAATGCATTTTGCCTGCAGACATTCTAGTTCTTTCGTAAACAGCGTTAACAATTGTATGTACCGACATTTGTTTACGTTGGTGCCAACGAAAAAGCGGACCTGCTTTGCCCCACGGCCTTTATATTCAATTGACTACACAATTGCAAACCCCCCGATTAAGTTTAAATGAGAAAAGTCTTTTTTAAACTGTGCTCATTCGATTTATATAAGCCAATAATGCAATGTGCGCATGCGTGAGCACACATGTACAAGAAGTAATCTGCTGTAGTGACAGCACTCTAAGTGTAAGAACTAAGAATCAGCAATGGAATTCTGGCAGGTCTTATGTTTTTTATCTTTCGGTGTTATTCCGAATGCTGGTAAGTACTGTTTAAAAACGGGGGTTCTTTACGAAACTACTTTTATGGAAAAGTTGCAGGTTTGATATTTTTGTACATGTACATGTATGTGTATCAGTACATTATCTGAAACACAGTCGTGTTTGTTGTGCTCACTCATGCAATAGATACACTGCTTACTAACTACTAGAAGATGGGCTACGTACTTTTGTGTTCGTGTTGATTTCATTAGTACCTTGGGTGAATAAAACAAATTATTTAAACAACGGCTGTTAACGTCACAAAAACGAGTTTCCATTATTACTGATAGTAATAATTTTGCTGACACTACTGTTAAATCCTACACGTGTAAGATTTGTTAGATTATTCACAAGCATAATAATGCATAATACTGATTTTGTCATTCAATTAATAATTTAAAATATTAATTTATCATCGTGTTTTTCAAGGAGCACTACAATGCGTAGATTGTATGTATCTCGAGGGTAATGAGACGAGTGCCATAGCCATTATGAACCAAGCTTTAAAAGCTGACCCCCGCTGCATGGACAGCCCGACCGCTATAAATGTCACCAGAAATTGCAGCGAAGCATGCATACAGTTCCATGTTTCCATGGTAACTGTATACGAATCGGTAAATATGTTTCTTTTGTGTCGACTTGTGTAAAGCAAAGCTTATAGGAACTGGAAGTCGGCTCTCTTGGAAGCATTTTCAGATTTTCACGGTTCACTCCATGGGTTTGAAAATACCCGTAATGCTTATTTTTTTCCATCCGTCGCTTCTTTTAAGACCTAACATTCACCTACTGAAAGATTAAGCCCGTTGGATAATTTTATTTTTTCTGGAGCGTAGGCTTACCAGATGTTAACACTGGTAATTCTATCAGACCTTAAGAATAGGGTCGCTGGTTACAATGACTGGCCAGACATTTTAAACTAAATAATCCTTTATTAATTACATTTAATTAAAGGTCGAATCCAAGTGCAGCGTGGAATAGATAAATGTTTCGTAAGTACAAGAAAATTACTTATTTCCCGGGAAAATCCATCTTGGCGAGTAAATCCCATGGAGTTGACCTTTAACTGTGTGTTTTGATCACCACCTGTAGGAGCCTACTGTATGTACTAAGAGTACTTATTAGAGCAGTCTCTTTACAAGAAGTGCTTGCAGCATAATTTATGGTATACTAATATTTGAAGAGACACTTACCGAATTAGTTAGGAGAGAAAAGAAAAAAAAACATCAAATTGTATAAATTGTCATTTTTTCTTTAGGTAAACAAAGCTGTGAACTTGACAATTCACTTCCGGTCCTGCGCAGTTGAGCTCCTGGTGACCCCAGGATGCCGGGATATGTCGAATGATGCGCAGAGTCCGTTGTTTCAGGAACTGAGTCACAAAGCTGTTTCGGACGTACATCAACTGCTGCCTGTATTTCAGTTTTTCACTGTTGTTGACATCAAGGGAAAAGAATGCTTCTGCAATGACGGTGATATGTGCAATAAAGATATCAGCAATTTGGGCCCACTCCCAACGGGTAGGCATTGTGTGTTTTTCCAGAGCCCTTTTTTTCTTTTGGTTTTACTTTTATCACAGTTAATTGTCGTATCGGCTGTAGTTGTCGTATAATTTCAAAAATTGACCCACACGTGCAACCAAAGGATGAGACAAAAACTGCAACACCACACAAGTTCTATTCGTTCGATATCTTTGACAAAGGATCCTTACGGTACCACTTATGGAAGTGGTGTTGAAATAACCATTCACTGCGTTAAATTAATTTTAAATCAAGCCGAAGTCTCTTTAGCACGTTTTTCTTCCAAACTACAACTATCTGTTCACCACTAGCAGGTGTTAGCAATACCTAAAGGGAGTGGAAAGATAGTGGTCGTAGTTTTAATTTGATCATGACTATTAAAATTATAGTTTGAAGGCATTTTCTATCCTTCGGCAATTACGGAAAGCTTCGGCATGTGTGGTAGGTGTCATATATTGTTAATAACACCAATCAGATACTGGTAGCAGGATAACCACTGGTAACGGTTTCGATTTTCATAATGTTTTGAAGTATTATTATTATTATTATTATTATTATTATTATTATTATTGTTGATGATTATTTTTGCACCTGAAGGCTAATCTCTAATCAAGGTGCAATGATTGATGTGACGGGTATCAGCTAGTGAAATGTTATACAATTAATAAGTAACAGAATATTGTTGGCACCTGTAAGTATGTTGTTGCAGTGACAAATGTTTTCCTTTGAAAAATATTAGGTTCAACAAAATATTCTACATAATAACACATATCACAATGATACGGATTGTAATCATGTGTGTATGCCTATGAATTCAGTTTTAAAACTTAGTTTATATTTATTTTACATTAATTGCAGCCATCCCCAGGGAGCGACCTCCGTGGAATATCATCATTCCTTGTGTTATTGTGGGAATCGTAATCATAGTTTCAGCAGCAATAGTTTTCTTCTGGGCACTACGGAAAGGCAAAATTCTAAGAGCAGATTTGAACGCATGGTCGAGACATATTGATGGTGACAGTAAGTTTGTTACAATTTTCTCTCGCCTTCTCTCAACCTTCTCTTTGATTTCAACGTAAGAAATACACACACACACACACACATATATATATATATATATATATATATATATATATATATATATATATATATATATATATATATTGGCGTTTGAGTATTATTGCTTAATATTCTCTACCTGTGTATTTATTTTAAAAACTTGTAAAGCTGTTTATATTTTGAAGTAATATGGCTTTTCTGTATTCTTATTATTGTGTAATTTGTTCCAGACGTTTTGAATGAAGGAGACCCCGAAGGTAAGATATAGCTTCCATTATCAGTAAACCCTAAGACCACCGTGACTTGCATTTTGTATTGTAACAAATGTTGTTCCAACGCTCTGGGTTAATAAGGCATAAGAGAAAAATAGACGTTCTTTATTATTTTCTTCTATTTAATTTTACCATTCGAAATCGTTAAGTCCAGATATTGAAGTTAAAACTGAATGAAAATTAATCAAGAGATGTTTTCAGATTATTTCTTTATTTTTCTGTATTTCAACAAAACAGCTTAAATTAATGTCAGACTGAAACTCTAACTGACACACCCGCCATAGTCAAATATTTCGTACCTATAACGGATTTTCTTTAAAAAAATGTCGTTTAAGGCCCATGTTTACAATTCTAAATCATGCACATGCACGCATTTATGCTTGTTGCCTCAACTCTTTCAGATGAGCTCGGAGCAACCTTAGAAATAAAAGGTAAGGATTGACAGCTATAACAGCAATTTGTTGTGACAGCCTCAAGCATACAATATGTAAAACATTGTGGTTATATATGTGCAACCCGCAACATTTCTCAATGAAGAAATGGACTAATCTACTATTTTCATGTGAATTACTCTTAATGCTGTTTGTTGTATAAAGTTCGTCTTAATCTTTGAGTCTGTTCATTGTAAGGAAATGGTTAGTATCCTTCCTGTTAATAGCCTGTCATTATCTTTAAAGTTATAGATTTTATCTTAATTCTAGAGTGTATATATTAACAACTCTGTGGCTCTGGTGTCAAACTCCTCTTTTTTCCAGAATTCTACTATCATGCCTTTATTTCGTACAATGAGTCCGCAAAAGAGGACAAAGCGTTTGTGAAAGGACACCTTATACCAGAGTTGGAACGGCGCGGTTATAAAATATATAAACCTGACGAAAGGACTGGAAAAGTTGTAAAACGTATGTGACAGTTCATAATCAAAATACTTCATATAGTATAAGCTCAGATACAAATGCTCAATTAGATAAGTTGACAATTTTTCTATGCAGTCATGAAATTCGAATCCAAACATAGACTGTCTTGTAATAGTTATTATTTATTGCGATTGAATTAGAGAGTTTGAAACACAGAGTTAAGTACATCGACCACTTACAATATACACTGTATATGTGAGTTAAAAATTTACATAGTTAAATATTGTTATCGTTACTGCATGAATCAGTGCCTATTGTTCACGGGTTTAAGCTATATTTTGCGTTTTCAGGACCAGAAAACATTGGAATTAATGCCAGCAGTCGGTTCATCATGATCGTCTCCTCACAGTACCTTGATATGGATGGCGTGAATGACCTATGTGGCAGAGTAAGGAATCGGTTAAAGGACAACAAATTGAGAATAATTCCAATAATCATGGAAAATTTCGATTTCGATCACTACCTTTTGCAAAGGAATGACGGCACAGACTATACATCTGTAAGAAAACTTTTGGAACAGCCACGTTTGAAGAAACCAAATGAAGACGCAATGGACAAGTTTTTTGACGACATCGTAGACTACATGCCAAAGCTTAAAAACAAAGCTGATGGAGAGGGTCTGGACCAAGAACGAATTGAATTAGATGTTGAGAATGATGGCAACGTGCACAAGAGATACTGATACTTCATTGATACAACTTGAATTAGACGTTGTGAATGATGGCAACGTGCACGACAGATACTTATGCTTTATTCATACTTTCTGCACCAGACTGAGCTGGTGAAAATGTACAGAGATAAAGTAGTAGTAACAATAATAATGATGACGATAATAATAATAAAATACATAGTTGAATATCACCAAAGTAACATATGTTGAAATGTACCATTATAATACATTCAGTATTTAATAATCATAAGCTAGGTGCGGTCTTAATGCCGAGTCAACTGCTCATAGCACTGATCATACGCTAGCATCACACTACAAGTATTGTACACATGACTAAGATTTAGATATTTTAATATTTTAATAATTAAAATTATGCACGAGCCTGTTTTCTGCTATGTGAGACAAACCTACATATTTATGGTAATTAATTATACATCACAAAGTGGAAGATATAGCACAGTTTCTTTTGTCAAAAGCGAGGTTAAGGAATTTGGCCAAATATATTATCACTGGCTCATTTGGGTTGTTCATTATGAAGGAGAATTTATCTTTGTTGTTTAAATGTGTAAAGCATGTATGGGCGCTTTGTACTGTTTGGAAGAGTTCTTTTCTACATTCTGTATACAGAGGGTAGGTGATAAAAAAGTGCTCTTCATCCTCTATAATTCCAGAGTGGCAGATTTGGCATTTTCTTTCTTCAGCTGGTGTTGGTTTACCCTTGACATGGCGACCTGTTTCAATGTGCAATTTGTGGCTGCTGATTCTAAATTTGTTGAGGGTTTTACATTTTTCTTTATCTTGAATTATATCAAGATATTTTTCTTTCTCAAAATGGAGCTTGAAAGTTGTATACGTTCTCAACTTGAGATTTTCTTGTGATATCCTGCTATGCCAATGTTGTACACTACTGTCTCTAACTCTAACACTAAAAATTTTCATGAAGTTTTTGTCTACTTTCTGTTTAAGCCATACATCTCCAAACCCATTTTCTACAAGAATTTTCTTTACTCCTTCACTCCATGACATACTGTGCCTTGGGGTTTGAAGGTTAGTGTTTGACAGAAGATCAAAGTGTTTTAGTTCATCTATGTATGCTCGTTTTAGTAAAACATCATCGTCTAAGTGTAAAATTTTGACCCAGTATTTAATTACTTGTATTTGGATCTTTGTGTAGCTTGGTAGGCGCCCAAGTTCTCCCCGGACAGCATATATATATATAATTACAGGGCTTGGAATGCACCCCTAAGAGCTGGTTGCAAAATTGGATATGTATTTTTCTATGGGTGATTTATCATTAAATGGAGTGAAACCCCATGTTTCTGCTCCATATGCTGCAACTGGGAAAATCAGTGTGTCATAAAGCTTTTCTTTGAATGAGGTGGGAATGGTACTAGCTAGAGGAACATTGCGTTTGAGACTGAAAAAGGCCTTTTGTGCTCTATCGTGTAAATTTTGTTGTGCTGGGACTAGTGAGCCCGATCTTGTGAAAAGGAGACCTAGGTATAGGTAGCTTGCTGCTACTGGTACCAACTGGTTATGAAAATAAAAATTTTCTCTGTTGCCACTGGTGTGACCATGCATTTTTCCTTAACTATTAAAAATAACAACCTTTGTCTTTTTTAAGTTAACAGATAGCCTCCATCTGGCACAGTATTCTTCCAAGCACTTTAAACAAAACTGAAGACCTGAGGCACTTGCCGAAAACAAAACTAAATCATCAGCATAAAAAGACCAGTAACAGGTTTCCCATCAAGTGATGGGGCTTGGCTTTGTGATTCATCTATAAGTCTAAGTATGTCATCTATGTATATATTTAAAAGGAAGGGGCTCAGTGTATCTTCTTGCTTAACTCCTCTAAATGTGCGGAAAAAATTTGTCAGTCCATGGGTGGTTTTGACACATGCGGTATTATATATTGATCTTACGTTATTGTAGAATTTTCCGCCTACATCTAGATTAAGCAGTTTGAAAAGCAGGCCTTTCCTCCAGACACAGCCGAAGGCCTTACTTAAATCCACAAAGCATGTATACAACTGTTTTTTTTTTTTTTTACCTTGAGATACTGATACTTCTTTGATACAAATTGAATTAGACGTTGAGAATGATGGCAATGTGTACGAGAGATATTGATACTTCTTTGATACAAATTAAATTAGATGTTGAGATTAAAGGCAGCGTGTACGAGAGATATTGACAACTCTTTGATACAAATTGAATTAGATGTTGAGATTATTCGGTTGGTGGTGAGAGTATAATGGTGGCGAGAGATGTTAACATATCTTTGTTTATGTTTGCATTAAAAAGGCTGTATGTGAAACTTAAAAAAAGAGGTTGCATAAAACTTTGAATAAAATGTATTTCCTTTATCCCTGCCATTAACATATAGCACTAACGTTTGAAGTGAACCTTTTATTTGTGCGTGTTCGAATGAATAAACGTAACATGATACATTGAGTGGAGCTTTGTGTATATTTCCCTACTTTTAAGTGTGAACATTGTTTGACAAATCAAATCATTGTACATAACCAGCGTCTTAAGCATTAGCATGATAAACAACCCAGCTGGAAAGTTATATATTAGCATGTAGCTAAAATAAATACACCTGGTCAACCATAAATAGTAGCTTAAAAGCAACAAAGGAGACACACTGGTTCTTTTCATTTCGCTAAAAAAACACAATTACCGCACATGGGGTAGTGTTTGAAAGACCCTTACCCTTAAGTTTATTTACCCAGTAAAGCAATGTCTTATTCAATAGCGGGTCTTATAGGCGCATTGATTCCATTTTAAAAATGAGTCTCAGGTAAGTCGGTCTGCGGCTAAATGAGTTTTAGGTCTTTCAAAATATCCAGCATGTGTCAGCTGTGTACGGTTGCAGTGTTTCTTCTCGTCACATTCAACCGCAGAGGTAAGGTAATCTCTAACGTGGTCACAAACAAAACGGTCACGTTTAGTAAACATCTGATCCGTGTCTTCAACATGTGAAATTTTAGCAAAGATACCTTTATATGTACAAAAAATTCAGTCTATCTGGAACAAAAATTTATCGATATTTAAAAGTCCATTATTTTTGTCTTTTAGTAAGTAGTAAACGAAGGAGTGAAACACAAATAAAATGTTAGATTCTAAGCTACCAAAAAATACGGGCCAGAAGCTAAATTTATGCTGTGAGGTTTGGAAATGGGGCATACAATGCACACGCACACAAACACACACACACACACACACACACACACACACACATTATCCTGGTGATTGTCCTGGTCTTTTGCACATATTGCAATTCTTTAAAAACAAAGAAGTCCTATATAATATTTTTGTCCCATAAAGAGGACAGATAGACTGAACAAACACATTTGATTCTTTATTGTCCTTTTTTCCTTTTTTTAATTTATTTTTTATTATCATATTGTTTTTTGGTTTTGAAAATGAGTGGATTAATTGCTATTTTTGTTGTTGCTTATGATAAGGCAGACAGGCAGACAGGCAGATAGAAGAAAAAAAAAAGAATTATAAGAAAATAAAGACCACAAACTCTTTGGGGATTAGATATCAACACAACGTTTAATTTCAGTTCTCGGCATTCTGTGCATCGACTGCAAATACCTTGAGATAGATGGCGTTAGTGTGTTGGGCCCACTAGGGGACGTGCGCTGTAATGGCAGCCACACGACCGTGAACACGACCGCCGAGTGCAGTGAAGGCTGTGTGCAGATGGGATTTTCTTTTCGACATATAAATAAACAGGAGGTGAGATAGGCCCCAACCCTATAGCCACCGTCGGTCTAACTAGTTCGATTCAACTCTGCGGAGACTCTTGCTGAGCGCAATCAGCTGCACTGAATGGCATAAGCCTCCTAATGGCGTTGGGTAAATTATACAAAACCGATGATTACACTCTAGTAACAGGAGGTTTGTCATTAGTTTAGCCGATTGCTCTAAGCAAGAGTACACGCAGAACTAGATCGATCTGCATAGACTGATGGTTATTATGTGAACGGTAACACGAAATACTAGAATTGCAAATGATTATGAACAAACTGTAACCAAGTAGGTTGGTGGGGTAGGGTTAGGGGGGGGGGGGTCTTGACATTTTGTCTCTTTTGCAGGTTAAGCATATACAGTGTACATATACCTTTAAAATGTCATGTAGCTATAAACTATATTTCTTTTACTGTTTTTTTTATTGTTATTCATTCATGTTGCATTGTTCTGGTTAAGTCTACTGAACAAATTTAGAATTTAGACCTCAAAATAACAACAACAACGACAACAACAAAAATAACTATAATAAAAATGTTAAATGTATCATTTGAATAATTACAGAGCCATACGGTAGCCTATAGCTTACGGTTCTGTGCCGCAAAGCGTCCCGAGGGGGACGGATGTCGTTACATGACTGGGGATCACGCGCGTAAAGGCTCTACGGATTTGAGAATGATAGGATTCGAGAGGTTTTTTAGTTACTTCAGAACGGGAAAATTTGAAGATTTTGAAGGTGTTGAATGCTACTGTAGTGATGAAGACCGGTGTAATGCTGAAGTGAAGAATGTTAACCCGTTGCCGACTGGTAGGTGGTGACACGCGAACACACACACACACACACACACACGCGCACACACACACACACAGAGAGAGAGAGAGAGAGAGAGTCAGAGAGATAGAGAAGATCACCTGCAATTCACTGATAAGAGAAATAAACAAAGTGATCTACTTATGTATTCTAATTGCCAAAACGCTGAATGCAAATGCAATTGTTCGAGCAAATATATTATAAGTGTTCGGCAAAACAGATTCAATGTCGCATGGTTCCAATGTTCAGATGTCGACTACTAGCTGTTTTATGCATGAGTACGTACCTTCATTATCGGACTGAATTTAACACTGATGCATTTCATAACTGTTAGACTATAATTTTAAAATGTGGAATTATATGTTATAACAATCTATTCGTATTATAATTGATGAATCAGCTGTATTATTTTTTTTCAGTCATTGGATAAAGCACATTATGTTACGTTTGTCATCATGTATCATTCGTTTAATGTCATCTACCATTGCAGCTATTGTCAAGTTGTACCTCCCATGGGTCATCATAGCACCTGTTATAACCTTGACACTGGTTATTCTGACTGCAACCGGTCTTCGAGTGTTGTGTCTGAAGCGCCCTAACAACCTCTATGTTCTGAAGTGGAACCATTTCACGGAAGCTGCAGAAGCAAAAGGCAATGTTGTTTGTTATGTTATTTTACAGCAGTTTGCCTCTTTACCCAAAAAAAAACTGCAATAGTGATATTTGATGTTCGCGTATACTACATGTATTACTAAGACTATTCACGCATTTATTTAAGTTAATATTGGAATAGTAAAGAATCGAAATACTTATTTCACTTTTACTTGGAGAAGGACCCTTTTCTAAAATATATATATATATATATATATATATTTAGAAAATTAGTTTTATTTAAAAAAAAAATTCAAAATTAGACAAATGGAAAATGATGAGCATTTGTCACTATTGTTTTCCTTATTTATTTCGACAGATTCATATGTGAATGACGTGGTCATTTCTTTTTGTGAGACCGAGGACGAAAGGCCAGAGGAAGATGCACAGGAATGCGTACACGAGCTTGTTCAACGCCTAAAAGATGATTACAAAGTGATACAGCAGACTGATAACGTTGGGGGTAAAGAGATGTAGTTACATCTGTGTTAACACATTATATTTTTTCTTCGATTAAATTATTTTAATTATACTAAAAAGTTCATTGTGGTCTTCAGGTAATTTGCTGGTGTTTTACATTGTACTTATGTCGTTGCCATCGTAAACGCACTGTAAACATTTCCTCCAACCACCTTAATCGGTGTTAATTAGTAAACATCACAATTTAGTAAACAAGCATAATTTCTTTTTTCTCACTTCAGGTTCAATTTTAGACAGCTTAGATAAAATAGTAAGGCAAAGTAGACTGTTCATCATGCTCGTCTCCGAGAATTATTTTACACCGAAACACAAAGACATTTTGGCAGTGGCACAAGCCCAGGTAAATGCTGGAAAGTTGAAAATCGTTGCAGTCATCCTCCAGGAAATTAAACGAGATAAACTTAAAAAGGATGAAACAAATAAATTGATCCTTGACTTAATGGACGGCACGTTTTGTAAGCCTACTGTAAAACTCAGGTGGCCCGCAGAAAGGAACGCACTTGCTCGAAATGAAATGGAAAAATATCTTGAAGAACTCCTGGTAAAAATAAGGTTGTGCTTGCCTAAAGTGAAGAGGGGAAACAACCATCAGAATGAAGAAAGGGTGGGATTACTATAAAATAATGCCCAGCAAGATTGAAAAGTCGGTGCTGAAAATGCAGAGCCAGAGTGTTAAAGACAATGTGAGTTTCACAAACACGTGAAACAAAATCGACCTCCTGAGCCCAGACTCCCGAGTCAAAAGAAAATTTTAAATCGTGTTAAAAAGTTGAAAAGTTAAAAAAAGTAAAAACCGTACGTTATGGTTGATATAGCATTAGTCCCCACACATCATCGAAGGGGAGTCTTGAAATTACACCTGCAATTACTGCTCTTAACCTTCATTGTTAGAATGATGCATTTCATGTAATTCTTATTAATATTTATGATTATCAGTTTATCTCCTATTCTTATCTACATAGGAGAGCACTATTTTGTGAGAATAAAGTGAAATTATTAATCAGAGTCAATTTAGAATTACAAAATATAAATAAATAAATAAATAAATAAATAATAAATAAGAGGTTGACTTCCTGTAATGCGTAAAGTATCCCAGAGTAGTGTCTGTATTGCTTATTTTTTATAAAACCTCATGTAATAAAATGGTGAAACCAAAGGATGAGTGCGAATAAGGGGGTAAAAGTGCCCACTTTTGTACATGAAAAATAAATTGTGAATAAATGGAAAAAAATTGATGCCAAATTAAAGTTGGGGTCTTACGCTTTTATGATCCACTTAAAAAATTTTTTTTAATTGAATTTGAAATATAGAAAATTAATGTCAAAATGACCTTGTCATATATACATGAAAATGTGTGTTTTAGGGGGGGTCTGAATTGCAATGCTACATATCTTTAGTTATAGTAAGGTGACAACTGTGAAATTTTGTAATTGGGTACAGAAGGTGCCCATGTAAAAAAGTAAGGCAATATGTGGCCAATCATTGCTTGTGATCAATATTTTGTTTACCTTATTTGTACATGTAGTGCTGATTGAAAGAAGAATCTTACAGTGACTTGAGGGTAAAAGATGTTCATTTTTTATATGAGCCCCTGCCTCAGACAAGCTGATTATTCACGGTTGAAAAGACATGAATATAAGGTGAAATATATGTGAAAATCAGCTTGTCTGAGGGTTGGGCTCGATATGTACTCAAACTAAATAGGGACATTTTCAGTCCATATGCTAGCAGGCGGCCATGTTTATTCCTGCCATGAGGTAGCTGCTACATGCTTACATAGGATGGCTAGGCAGATACAGTGAAACTTTTGTACAAAAAGAACAACCCAAAATAAAATGTAGGTCTTTGAAAGGAAAATAGGGGTTAGAGTTGGTGAAATATTTTCAATTACAACAAAAAAAAAAAAAAAAAAAAAAAAAAGAAAAATCATTTTCATATATGTAATCTAAGATCTAATAAACAGTATAGTATGGTATATTAGATCTTAGATGTAATGCATGCTATCATAAAAAAAAAGAAATATGGATAGGAAATAGAGTCCAAATACAGCAAGTATATCTTACTTTCATTCTTATTTCTTAGGATAAAGAAAGATTAAATGTAAAATGTGCTTCAGATATTCAAAGTTATATTAATTTTCATAATGGCAGATGTACATTGCGGTGGCTCCTACTTAATATAGAGACCCATGCATGCTGTAATAGACCTCTACACATAAGGGTGGCTTGACCCAACCCCCATAATGGGCATGAAAATTGTTGTGTAAATGTCCTCTTTCATGTCTATTTTGCATAAAAAGTAAAACAAAAGGTCCATCACACACACCCTAGTTTTGTTACTTATGACCTAATCTTCCACACCAGCACTATTCATAACAGCTTTGCAGAGTTTTTTTTCTTCTTTTTTTCACCAAAATGCTATGAATGGCTTTATTTGTCAAGGAAATCAGTGAAAACCTATAGACTTGGTAAATAGTCCATACAAGAGACCACCAGCCTATAATAATTACCAGAAGTTTACCAGATAAAGCAAGCTAGCCAATATACTGATGAGCATCTGCTAGATGACCAGTTTGAAATCAGTGTATGCAAGGATGCACCTGATTTAATCAGAGCCAAAATAGTTAATTAAGACACACATCTAGCCACCAGTACACATTATGGATTCAGACCTCCCATAGCAAAACTAGACCCATCAGTGGCTGGTACTGACAGTGTAAAGCTGGTTCCAAGACAGTTGGAAGTTGTGCACATATCACTTCAGTCCTGTGGCATAACTGTTATTATGTGTACTATATTTTCATTTGGTTTTTAGTTATACCTTATCATTATTTTGGTACAATTTATACCTTGTTTATTTTATGGTTTATGGAAACATTCCAAATAGCTGTTTAGAGTGCTTTTACACATGATTTATTTATTGTTACTGTAATAGCCGTTTGCTTTTAGAAATTTTTACTATTCCTTAGAAATGTGTATTGGTTAAAAATACAATTATTTAGACCAACAAATGCTGGTCTGTGAGAAAAGTTATATAAAATTAATAAATACGCTGAAACAAGTTTTTCTAGTAACAAGGCTTTTATACAGTTAAGTGAAATCAGTGATGGCTTCTGTGAGAAAATACCGTAATATACCACCCCTCCCTCTCTTCTCTAGGATTAAAAAAAACAATAATTACTTTCCCATTTACTTGTGCCACACCACAATTATTTAACATATAACTTTTTTTTACATCACAAGACAAGTCTCATTAGAAAAACATTGTTTATGTAATATAAATGCTGAAACAAGTTGCTCTGATTCATTACTCTGCATACAACAGGTAAATCAGGCTACCCCCCCCCCCC